TTGCTCCATCTCGTCAATATCCAGTATCTCCAAAATGAGGACACAGAGATGGAAATATGGGTGATGCTTGGGCTAGCTATCCGCTTGGCACAGAAGATGGGATACCATCTAGATGGTTCTCGGTTTCCTGAACTAAGCATCTTTCAGGCTGAAATGAGAAGAAGAGCATGGGCCGTCATAAGCGACCTCGACATATCGATTTCCGCAAGTTTTGGTCTTCCGAGGATGATCAATCCAGTACACAGCGATATTCGAGAGCCACGACATCTACGAGACGACGACTTATACAGAGACATGACCGAACTTCCTGAATCACGCTCTGACGAAGAAGAAACTCCTTTACTGTACGTCCTAGGGAGGCAAAGGATTCTCTCACTGGCAGCTAGAGTCTCGAACTTCCTGTCCCTTGGTCATGCTGGAAGGCAAGAAGAAGCACTTCTCCTGGATGAGCAGCTCCGCAAAACTTATGAAGAGCTTCCTGATTGCATCAAGCCCCAGACTCATGTAAATGCCTATGACAGGTCAGACGGCGGCAAAAGACTTTTGCGGGCTATGTACTTGGCTTTGGTGTACTACAAAACGCGGTGCGTTCTCCATCGGCCATATCTATTTGTGAGACAGCCCGATGCTACTTTCACCGCATCCAGAAAATACTGCCTCCAGTCAGCTCTTCAGCTGTTACACTACCAATCTATGATTTATAGAGAGTTACAGCCTGGGGGAAGTCTAGAGAAACTATGGAAGGTGTCGTTTATAGTGAAGCACGACTTCCTTCTCGCTACGACTGTACTTGTGTTTGATATTGATCAATCACGGAGGACAGGCCTCGCCGACAATGACAATTTCTGTCAAGTCAGCATAGAAGCACTGTCGCAATCGTATCCCATCTGGCTTGAATGGGCTGCCGCTTCCCGAGAAGCAAGGAAGGCAGTTGATATGTTACGAGTGGTGCTGGGGAAATCACAAGAGCCCAAAGCGGACAATATGGGGCCCTTCGAGGGAACAGCCTTTACCCGATCAACCGAAAGTGAAGAAAGGGAAGATGGAGGGCGAAGTAATTCGCAAGAACTGGTCGATGCTTTGATGTCTCTTTCCGAAGAGAACACTACATCATTTGAACACTGTCGAGGGTCAACGCCTGTACCAGACCAGTTTTTCATGGTAAGTTGAGAGTATGCATAACCATGATACGTCAATACTGAACCCTCCACTCACTAATAGTTTGGTTTCGACGATCTTGTTCACTTGTTTCAAAGCAGTGTAGATAAGGCCGGGCTTGTAAGGTAACTTGGAAGATCCCAAATGTAATAGCAATAGTTGCTCAGGTAATCTCGATATACTACATATGAAAGATGTTAAATGTTTATAGTTCCCCAACAATTTTCAGTTTAACCATACTGAATTCAACTTGCCATTTAATGCGTGATCACTTCGAACGAGATCCATTAAGATGTTTTTGTGATTACCATTTGCCTTGTCTACCATAGAAAATGAGCGCACCAATAAGCACAAATAGTACACTGGCTCCAGCAATGATACCCACAACGGCCATTGTATCAACATGCGTTCCAGCCGAGGGGTCATTATTGCGGGTAACTATGTCAAAGAGAGCGCCGCTCAAATGCGTACCAAGTCGTGTCGGAATAGGCGATGCCAACACCTGGCTAACCAGACATATCAACAATGTGATTCTGCTGGAGAACATGGCCATTGCTGCTGTTGATATTGCTTTTTCTTTGAGGACGTTTGGCAAGGTAACCGAATGCAAAAGCTTTTTTGGCGGTTGTTTTCGGACTGGGAGATGGATATCAGTTCGTTCAGAGAGATTAGTCAATTCCTAGCTGATCTGCCTCATCTTATAGACATGAGTAGGCATTGATGAATTTGTTTGAGGTTTCGCTTTGGATTTTGAAACAATGAACATTGTTCATCTCCCGAGTAACTTACGTGGTGGCAGTGAATATTTTGGCCCAAGACAAAGAACGCTCATCTTTGTCTGAATCAGTGATCATGTTTGACCGCCAAAATGACTCTACGGTTTCAAAGGGAAACTCCTGGGACCGAGACCCCTCTTGATTACTCACTAATAATTGCGGCTGATGGTGGGCTTTCTACAAAGCAATCAAGTGCGAGATCCTTCAAATGGAGACGAGTGCATCATTTTTAAGGATCCCGAAAAGACTATGAAATAGCGGGTTTCCTGGATATGAAGTCATGCACGCTTAGAGTTAATTTCAGCTAAACAAGCTATAAGGACTTGACTTGTTAAATCTCACCCGAAAATGTCTAAATTGCTGAAGCCCACTAAATATAACGGCGACGGTGGGTCAAGTAGATAAAGTCTGTTAGACTCCATGCGCGGGTTCTGGTGGCTGTAAGAGTGGCGGTTTTGCGGCGACACTAAGGCAAACACGGAAACCTGGAGGATCGGTCTTCCGCATCGCATGTCATCTCTCCTGAAATCTGCACATATCTTCTTCCGCGCGTGACATAAAACGAGCTTCCCGGACCTGGAGTCACCGTTTCATGTTATTCGGTGACGACACTATCTAACATTGTCTGATAGTGGCCTGGGGCCAGCCATGGGATCTTGAATCTAGTGTAACCTATGCTTACCGGATCAGAGGCGTTATGATGCGAGCACCAGATGAGCAATCCCTAGTGCCGCCCTCGGAACCGTACGGTGATGAAATGAGGCTTCGGGCCTCGGAGCGGTCGGTTATCGTCATAGTCCGAATTAGGCATGCTTTGTTTGAAAGATACATCTACGTCCCTATGCTAGTTCTCGCATACGACATGCAGCCCATGCGGGCTTGTAGGGTTCTATTGCTTATCGCAGTGCTATAGGATAGACTCTCCCTGAAAGAGCACAAAGCAGCCGGCAATATACTACAACAAGCCGGTAGCTCAACATGATACTTCCCATCATCTATCAAATACTGATGGATAATTAGACCGTGGTGGCTGTATATGATGATTAGTGGAGAGGCGTTAGGCTCTCCCATTTGACCAATCCTACCCTGCGAAACATGACCTTGAGTTGCTTGCACTACTCACTGCCTTCGCTATCACGGACATGCATCCGAGAACTGGTGGTTGTATGCAATCCCGAATGGTCTTGTTGTGGCTCGTGCCTTGGCTGCAATCCAAAAATACAACGATCTGCTGTCGCTCAATCCCTGTGTAGTTCAGCATGACAAACGCAATTTATCGCTCTAAGCTAACACCATTCTTGGAGTCGTCACAATATTGTTCTCCCCGCGAACCTTTCTGAAGATTCGCCAACAGAGAGCTATCCTAGAAATGGTATTGACGAACGTTTGTGGCTGAGTCGACAGTTCTCCTGGACTTTAGCTCACTATACTCGTCTTATGTTTGTTACTGTACAAGCCATCACTATGACTAGCGACCCGAGTCTTCTAAAGTCGGTCCTTGAAGCACAGGCTGTCTACTTCCGCTGTTCTCTTGGCGGAAAGCCTTGACTGTGAGTTAATGCCTTTGACCATCAACTGAGGCCCCGTTGAGTGATATGCATGATGGACAACCATGACTCTGATAGTATCTGCAAGGGCAAAGGCCTTTCAGATGATGACGCCGCGCGTACCTGACATGGGGGATGTAGCGGCGGTGGCCGATGTAGCAGACATTGTTAGTGAATGGATTTGTTTCATGAACCTCCGGAAAAGCGCACCGCGATGTGATATCAGTGAGAAAGTCGATGCTGGGCAAGAATCTACGTGTGTGCCGAAGACATGCCGCCCTTTGATCGCTACCCCTTTGGGCCGTGACCATGTTGGGGTAAAGCTTATCAGCGATGCAATATAGGAAGATGTCTTTCCGGTATGCATGGCGGCACATGGCCCACGAAACAAGCTCGCTCAAGCTCACCAAGCCGGGATCTTCAAATTGCTCAGTCCCTGGTTCTGCCGTGTCCTGCAGCCCACGGGCCTGGTTTGCAGCAGAGAAACAAATGAAGCCTACGACTCTGCTACCAGGGAACACGCGGTGCAGAAATAGCACTCATTTAGATGTCTTGGCCCCTTGTAAGACTGATGACGTTCTAAATTGCAGGACGCTCAGTGCTCTTAGTATCTTGATCAACAGGAAACAATGGTCAAGTCACTAACCCGCCTCGCCCGCTAAACGACAGCTGATGTGAAATTTTGCAGACACCACCTGGAGCCCACCTGCGTTCCCCTCAGCGCCACCTCCACGGTGCGGGGTGCTGGATCGACGCCCCTGCTGACAGGGCGCATGGTGCGAGTACCCCTGGAGGACCCGAGGACTCTTCTGTATCTAAAGGTTTCCGACAGGCGCACAAGTCTCGGATTGGGGTTGCCCGTAAGATGAGAACTAGCACTTCCAGTGACGAGAACGGTAGTTCGGAGCGTTACGACGACGATGTGGCGTTGTAAATCTTGGGTCAGGACAGGGAGAACCGGTATAAGGCTCCTAATTTGGACTAAGACGCAGGCCACGGCGCGTGGAGATGCTGGTTGATGCTGCGTTAGCAGCGTGCCGGGTTTGTTGCACTCGGCAGAGAGCCTCCGTTGCACACTTGGCCAGGAACGAAAAGGCCTCCAATAAACGACACTCGCCCTTGACCAGCTTCGGCAACTTTAATCTATCTTCGCTTCGGGCACACCATTTTTCCGCTGCTTGCAGACTGTCCGGTGTGACATCGCCGGATCGGCCCAGACCTTTCTTGACATTCTGGTCCCATCGTGACCGAAGCTCTACCTGGTGATGGCGCGCTCCTGGAGCCCGTTGCCTCCAATGCCTGTTGGTATCCCTGCTGGGGTTTCTCCAATTCTTGTGAGGGACATTTGCTCACTGGTCAACGACGACGGCTGGCCATGCACCGGGCCCTTCTCGTGGAACCCCGACATCTACCCCCCTTAGAAGCGAGCTTAGATCGTCTCTATTAGACAGTGGCCGCAATGAAAACCAGCGCTTCCAGTCCTCAACGGGCCGGAAGCCGTCTCTAATCCTCTCTAGTTATGAACATGACACACGCAGGACTGCTAATAGGACCCCTCGTGACTGGCGAGGCGATTTCCATGGCACCGTCTGTCTGGGCCGGAATCCCCGGTTTGAGGACCTTGGCGTGTAAGTCTTCCTCCTGGAAGGTTGTATTCACGTTGAGGAGACATTCTATTTAAGTCCTCTGAACTGCACTCCTTGGAATATCTTCTTGGTCTGCCATCACCACTCGAACGCTCCTTCGCTACACCAGTCATAGTCCGCCGCTATACGGACACAATGTATCGCAAGATCGCCACTCTTTCAGCCCTTGTGGCTGCGGCTTCTGCTCAGCAGGTCTGCACATTGACCGCAGAGACTCACCCGACCATGAGCTGGTCCAAGTGCGCCGCTGGTGGCACATGCACGACTGTAAGCGGTTCGGTTACCATTGACGCCAACTGGCGATGGCTTCATCAGACATCGACCAGCACCAACTGCTACGATGGAAATGAGTGGGACACATCATACTGCAGCACTGGCGCAGACTGCGCTGCCAAGTGCTGTGTTGACGGCTCTGACTACTCTGGAACGTATGGTGTAACGACCAGCGGCAACGCTCTGAACCTCAAGTTCGTTACCCAGGGACCGTACAGCACAAACATTGGGTCCCGTATGTACTTGATGGAATCCGATACCAAGTACCAGATGTTCACCCTTCTCGGCAACGAGTTTACATTCGATGTTGACATGTCCAACCTCGGAGTGAGTTCCCTCTTCATTAAGCACGGATTTCACGACCCTGCACGTATCTGGGCAACGAGCTCGCTTGACAAAGGCAAAGAAATGAACTAACAAGAATTAATAGTGCGGTCTTAACGGCGCTCTCTACTTCGTGTCCATGGACTCCGATGGCGGTGCTTCCAAGTACACTACCAACAAGGCTGGTGCCAAGTATGGTACCGGCTACTGCGACAGCCAGTGCCCCCGTGATCTCAAATTCATCAACGGTATTGTAAGTTTATCAACAGCTTCTCAGATCTTTTTGTCAGAAACGCTAATGACATTCTCAGGCCAACGTTGAGGGCTGGGAGCCATCGTCCAACGATGCCAATGCTGGTATCGGCAACATGGGCTCTTGCTGCTCTGAGATGGATATCTGGGAGGCCAACTCCGTTGCTGCTGCTTACACTCCTCACCCCTGCCAAACCATCGGCCAGGAGATGTGCACTGGTGATGCTTGCGGAGGCACTTACTCTTCTGACCGTTACGGAGGCGAGTGCGATCCTGATGGTTGCGATTTCAACAGCTACAGACAGGGCAACACGACCTTCTTGGGCAAGGGCTCTAGCTACACCATTGATACCTCGCAGAAGATCACTGTTGTCACTCAGTTCATTACCTCCGGCAGCACACTCTCTGAGATCAAGCGATTCTACGTCCAGAACGGCAAGGTCATTCCCAACTCCGAGTCCACCATCAGCGGTGTTCCAGGAAACTCCATCACCACTGCCTACTGCGATGCTCAGAAGGTTGCTTTCGGAGATACCAACGTTTTCGAGCAGAAGGGTGGTCTCGCTCAGATGGGCGCTGCTCTTGCCCAGCCCATGGTCCTCGTCATGTCCCTGTGGGATGACCATTACGCCAACATGCTGTGGCTCGACTCCACCTACCCCGTTGGCAGCACCAAGCCCGGTGCCGCCCGCGGTACTTGCGCTACTACCTCAGGTGTTCCCTCCGATATCGAGAAGTCTGCCGGCAGCTCGAACGTCATCTACTCCAACATCAAGTTCGGCCCCATCGGCTCTACCTTCAACAGCGCCGGCACTGGTGGCGGTTCCAGCTCCAGCACCACTGCTCGTGTCTCCAGCTCCACCACTCGCACAAGCGCTACTACCTCAAGCACCTCCGGCTCTGGCTCCGGCAGCGGCACTGCTGCTCACTGGGCCCAGTGCGGTGGCATCGGCTACACCGGCCCGACCACCTGCGCCAGCCCGTACACTTGCACGTACAGCAACGCTTACTACTCCCAGTGCCTGTAAGAGGCGTCCTCGCTTGAGGCGCTTTGGGAATGGTATACGGATCTTTAGACGTCTCGGCCAGCAAGTGCTTTGCGCGGCTGAACAAACCTGGTTGGGGGAGATCGGACAAAAAATTTGCATCGCATGTGATATGAACCTGTTCACCTGTACATACATTTGCACTCACTGTGGTGGTGGATCTGCGCTAGCATTTCTTTCCTTCGCTTCTTCCGTATATATATAATTTCATTTACTTAACTCTGAAGATTTCGAAGTTGTAAGGTGTCGTGTGATATGTTGCTCCGCGACATGCTTCCTTATACCGAACCATAACATTCTCTAGGTAAGCGTCCTGAACTGCTCTACTCAAACTTTTCCTTATTCGTTTCTAGATAGTTATTCTAAGAGTCAGACAAGACAGTGATCTTAGTATTTGTTCCATCATTCACAGGTCTCGATCTTTGGACAGGAATTATTCGTGAATTGGCAGATCGATGGACAGGTAGCCGATGTACAAGTCTGCTTTGCTGCTTTAGTCAAAAGGGGTAGAATTGTTTTATCAGTATCCCAAAACAAAGCTTACGCTGACCTTTTACACTTACTGGGAAGTTTTATTGCGTCTGTTCAGAACGGAGAACCTGTCCTCAAGGCACAATCTATCAGGCCGCACTTGCGCTACGGATTCATGGGCAATTATTAAAAAGTATTCGACCAGTTTTAGTGGTATTTTCTTGCTACAATTTATTGTCCATGGATATGCAATGCATATGCACTCGTTATGATCCCGTTACAAATGTCTAGTTGGTGTGAGCTGGGGTGACGAATGTTACGTTCTCATAGACGCCCGCTGGAATGATTCTGATCCCTGCTCCAATACTAACATCGGGAGCATCTTCACGAGCGCGGAACTTGGCACTATCACCCATGGGAACAACAGCAGAGTTGTCTAGACGCTGTGTGCACTGAGACTTGGCGTGTGGAATGATGATGTTGCCAAGGTAGCCTTGATATGTGGCATACTGGTGGAATATCTATCATGAATTTAGTTAACATCCTTTACTTTGTCATGTTGCTATATTTAAATCTTACCTGATTCCAGTTCTTCTGGATATTGCCAATACCACCTGGTACCACCTTATCATAGAGACCAACAATACCAGTCTCAGCGAAGTTCTCAGGCCATGCGGAGCGGGCGTACTCGCTGGCAACAGCGCTGTCCTGGTTGTAATTGTCTTTCCAAATGCTGCCAGTGCTGAAGGGCGCTGGAGCAATGTTGAGAAGGGCATGGGAATCAAGTGAGTGCGACATCTCGTGAGTGAGAATATAGACCATCATATAACCGTCACCAATGGCGATATTATCTCCGTTCGATAAAGCAGCAGCGCCAGATGCAACATGAGGGAGGGCAATTATGTGCCTAATGTATTCTCGCATGCCAAGAGGCATTCGCCCAAAGATCTAGTATTTGTTGAGTAAGACTTATGGAAAAGAGGGCAAGAAGACTTACGTCAATCATGTCAATTTGTGATGGTTTGGCACTCTTGTGACGGCACATGATCCACGGCTCAGAGCAGTCTGAGTAGTGCACATTAAACACCTCAATGTCAAAAGGAGAGAAACCATAGTTCTTGGCCTCCGTCTTGCAGTAATCTAGAATCCAGCCAGCACCCCACGAATCATGGGTGGATTGTGTAGGTGATAGGTTCTGGCGAAGACCAGTCTCAACGGCTCCTGCGAAGTCAAAAGCAGGGGAAATGGCTGGTTTGGTGTTAGGTGCGTCTTGAGCCTGTACCCCGGAGAACAAAGAAAGAGCGGCTACCGCAAAAGACAGTCTAGAAAACATCTTGGAGATCTCAAGGTGAGGACAAGCAATTCAATGAGAAGTGTCGATCGATGATGATCAAAGCCTTTCAGAGCAAAGATCGACCAGCCGCGAAGATTTATACTCGTCCATGCCCTTGAGAAGCTCGACAACACATGATATCTCGTCATCTAGACCCTTCTGACTGCTTAGAAGGAGCTAAGGGGACTTTCGATCGTAAGCTCATGTTCTTGGCGTAAGAGAGGTTGGGTTGGACGGTTACCATAGACATCAAGACAAACTTCACGAGACCGAATCTGACGAGCCTGAGTACACTGTCACTGGGTGGAATTAGGCCGATGTATGGTTAGTAATTACCCTGGAATCTGGTACCAGCGGTATTGCTGATGGGATAGGAAGTTCGGTCAAGGCGGAGACTATGATATTAATAGACGGGTGCATGAGAACATGCCCAGCGAACTACATTTCCAGAGCCACGGCTCCACGGCGCCTGCCGCTTAGTCCAGGGTCAACTTGAAGGCTAATGTAGCAACGTTGCTGCGGGTCCCAGGGAAGCACAATGATTCGGGAAGCTATGGATTTCTTTCAAATTTAGCTTCTTAACTCGATTCACTCAACATTAGACGAAAGGGTTTCAAGGCCGGGGCAGCTACTGTTGGGTACCGCCAAGCTGTGTTACACAGACATATAACGATGGTGGATCTGCTCTTCATATGCCCGTTTCACTCAACAATAACCCAACACTGTGTGTTCACTTGCAAATGCCTTGAAGCTGACGCTTGAACAAATCATCTCTTTACGTGATGACTTGCGTGTGCTCGCATTCTTCGACCAATTCGTTCTCGAGTTGACTACCTCGGTGAGATCCGTAAGACTTTTTGGGGACGTGCAGCCCAAGTAAATTGCAACCCAAGAATGTAAGCCATAGCACCCGCAGTGCAATCTCTGAACCGATATGCTCGCTAGTTTTGGACGCTACAAGGATCTTCCGGCTTTATTTCTCTACGTGCAATCATGCCAGACAGACAAATTAACGCCTTAGGTTAAGTCTTTCTACTACTGACTTAGACGGTCTTGTTAGAGTCTCAAGTCCTCCTTGTTTATTTTCAAGGTAAATAGTCATTAAGTTATAGGATCGACTGGATTCTGGAAAAGAAAATTATCGTCGTGCAAGTATTGCTACTATCATTAGCTGCAGCTTATCTTACTGCAAATCACAAGAGAGGTCAAATTATTCGCTGTCAAGACTTCGAGGGAGACAAATCGAACTCTAGGAGGACTTGGCAAAGTGCTTCCGAGGCCGGGTTTAATGAACGACTAAAACAGACTTTCCTAGTCAATTTCCCTTTTTGTTAGGTGACGCAGGCTCTGGCTTCAGTCCTGAAGAAGAGTCAGCAGCTCCTTAAACGACTCCTAGCACAACGTCTGATTTGTTACTGCGCCATAGTTTCCCGCGATCTAGGAAGTAGTCTATTAAGGGTCACTCAAATCATACCAATACGGCAGGCAAGGACAGGGGAGTGGGCCAACAAGAAATTCCACGTCCGTACGCGTATGTGGCTCGTATTTGAATTACTGGATTTGTACAGAAGTGTCCGTATTTTGCTTGTATTTGTTGGTAAGCTGCAAAAGTCATCCATTGTCCTCACGTCCCTTCGCGGTATGTCAGCACTTAAATATTTAAGGTTAGTTCGAAGGAATGGAAATGGGTGTATGTGAGGAAATATCATGTAAGCAGTGGGTAGGAATATTGGGTGACATCGCGCATAATAGACTTGCGGTACTCCGCAACGGGGAACTTATTGATAGGTGACAAAGTCGTATTTTTCTCTGAGAAAGACTCGCGTTGACCAGACTCATAAGTCATCTTCAAAAAAACATTCTATGCCAAGAACTTACTTCTATTTTGAGCGCTAAGCTCTAACTCTTCTAGAAAATGTCTTTACAAATGCCCAATGCGTTTCTCATGGTGTGACGACAATATCCAGACTTCAACAAGAGCCCGCCCTTTTCATGTCTGTACTTATCACATGTCTTATCTAGTTTAGGCAAGCTGAAGAGGATGTGCCTCCAGAAATTCGTCCAAAGTTGTAAGTCTACCGCGAGCCTGGGCCGCAGCCCAAGCAGTCGACTGCTCCTCGCCAGGACCAAAATAGCCATACTCTTCTTGAGCGCGATGTCCATCGACCCAAAGCTGAGGCACAAATGGCATTGCCTTTGCAAATTCATCATAGGAGATTTGCCGGTAAACAACAGTCTTGCCTGTGTTCTTAGATATCGCGGCTGCAATTTCCTCCAGACTATACAATCCCTGAGCGGCGTGGAAAGTCTTGCCCTCGTACTTGTCGGGCTCCGCAAGAATAGCACCCACAAACTTGCCCACATCGCCAACAGCATCAAGGTAGGGAAGCCGAACTTTAGAAGGGACAGGACGGGACATAACATATGTGCCATCCGAGGTCGGCTGTGGACCTAACCATGGCTGTGTCTGTAGGTTTTCCATGAAGTATGCTAGCGAGACGAAAGCACTTTTGATGGACAGGCTCCGTATGTACTCCTCGGCCTTTGCCTTGGCGTCAAAGGGGGTAACATGCGTGTATCTGCCGTTGGACATTCCTGATACTGATGGCAAGGTACTGAATATGATGTACTCGAGACCCTTCTCCACCGCAGTGTCAGCGATCAACTTTGCAGTATTGAATTCGGCTTCAACAGCATCAGGCCCGAAGGAAGGTGTTGTCATAATGTAGACAAAGTCTACGCCGGTCAGTGCTGCCTCAAGAGAAGCCTTGTTCTGCATGTCGGCTGAAACGACTTCAACATTCTGAGCTTTGAGTTTCTTGGCCTTGTCTGATTCAACATCACGAGTGATAGCCCGGATCTTGTACTTCTGAGAAAGTTCCGAGTCACTTAGAACATTGTTGATAACTGAACTCCCTTGTTGGCCGGTAGCGCCAAAGACAGCAAGAATTTTGGACATGTTATAGGATAATGGTAGAATTGTTGAGATTGTGAATTAAGAGTTATTGAGTGAAGGGGATTTGATTATGTATTGAATTCTGACAATCAACCTGAAGTAAGTCTGTCGTCGAACTTATATACTCGTTCAAATTGGCCATTGTGAGGCGATTTGACGGTTGTTAGTGATTGTCCACCGCCGTCAACTTCGGGTAAGCGCCCACTTTCACACTATCGTAAATGAACTGAATGGAATGATTTGGGGCGATGGTTGTGGGGGAATTAGCTAAGCTATAACGTAGAAGCCGGTGGCGTGCCTCCCAAATCTCGATGAGTCAGAGTTCGACCGCCGCCTTTTCCGGTCGAACTGGAGTAGCGCAATGCTGACATGTCTCAAACCGCCGTTTCGACAAGCTTGATCAAACCATCCAACCAGACAGTACATTGGCTCTCTTACTCAAAATTAGCATCTTTCATTCTTCCTGGAGTGTGCTGAGCGCACCGCCGTTCTAGCCGGGCCTTTTAACCTATAGGGTTCGTTGAGTCCTAGTCGAGATAATACGATGGCTGATGGTGCCAATGAGCCTCAGGTCAAGCGAAGGAAGGTCCGGAAAGGGACCCGGAGCTGCTGGGAGTGCAAAGGAAGAAAAGCCAAGTGTACCTATGCAACGCCTGAAGACACGATATGTGATGGCTGCTTCCGGCGTGGTACTAAGTGCATCAGTCAGGACCTGCCGGAGCAACCCTTGGGTTCAGTTGATCGAAAGCGACAAATGGGGAACCGCATGGTCCGGGTTGAAGCACTTATTGAGAAGCTTGTTAAGAATACTGGAACTGGATCGTTAATTTCCGGTGTTAATGGAGGCGCTCTTGATAATCTCGATGCTGGCAAGCTCTCATCTGCGAATACCCTGGTGCATCCCTCGGAAGTAATTATCTACTTACCATTGAAAGCCCCTGGTCCATATTACTGACGATTTACAGGGCATCACGGCAAGCCGTAACCCAACTTTCGATTCCTCTGAAACACTTGTCAATGATGACTTTGAGCACTTTGACAACTCCAATTATGAAAAGATATCAGAAACGCTGTTGGCTATATACCCATCTCAGGAGAGTGTGGATATGATTTTGAGAGCATCTGGCCCCATGCCCACGTTCTTCCATCAACTGGTAGCGCGCAAGCTCTACAAGGAAATCCAAATCACAGAAAAGCAAAAGCATGAGCAAATGACTGAGTTGAGCATTCGCCATACCCCGAAAACTCATCCACTCGTAATTGTGAGACAGATGCTTTTACTGGCTATCTCGTTCCGCTACATTCATCCTTCCATTCACCATGAGCTCAAGGGTTTCAATGGGTCACCGGGAGCCAAGATCCAAAGCATTGCAGACGCTGCCATTGACCTAGTAACCAAAAATGACAAAATGGTAAACAATCTCGAGGGGTTAGAATGTCTCTTACTCGCATCTTCATTCCAGGCTGATTCAGGCAACCTTCGTGCTGCCTGGTCGATAACACGGCGAGCTATGCTTACGGCCCAGTTGATGTGTCTTCATCACCACAAACGGCCCCCTTTGACATCTATACAATCAAAGCATATCTGGGATCCTCAGCTCCTCTGGTATCGAATTGTATACTTTGACCGTTTCTTCAGTCTTATTCTTGGAATGCCCCAGGGCTCAACAGATATCTCCATGGGGATCGCGCCTCCTCTCGAAGATGACACGCCTATGGATCGTTTGGAGCGAAGACACTGTGTTTTAGCAAGCCGTATTCTCCAACGAAATGACAACGACTCTAGCTCTGATAGTCTTACTGACATACATGCTATTGACATGGAGCTCCGCAAGCTTTCTGAGTCGATGCCGAGTAAATGGTGGCTTGTACCGAACTTGGCCTCCATTCAGCAGGATGATGAGTTGTTTTGGGCAACAATTCGTCTAACCAATCAGCTGTTTCACTACATTCTTCTGAGTCACTTGCATCTTCCCTTTTTGCTGCAATCATCGCCAGGCTCCGAGGAGCACCGCTACGAGTATAGTCGCATGGCTTGCATCAATGCGAGTCGCGACCTTCTACAGCGATACATGGCATTTCGCACATTCAACCGCAGCTCATACTGCTGTCACAGCATGGACTTCTTTGCTATCACCGCGTCCATGACACTTGTTCTTGCTCATCTTGATGGTCATGGCTCGAACAGACATTCAGATAGCGTCCTGCTTCATCAGCGGACGGCCGATCGTGCCATCATGGAAGAAACCCTCGACAACATGGAACAGGTCGGTACACTGAACAAAACCAGAACTGTGAGCGAGAGGGGTGCCGGCGTATTGCGCCGACTTTTGGCTATCGAAGCCGAGGCTGCGCGCGGATCGACTTACCGGGTGGAAAAGGGTGATTGCCGTCTGCATGATGCTCGTGCTCTTCGCCTGACTATCCCCTATTTTGGCGTCATTACCATCACTAAAGGTGGTCCGGCTTCCAGACAAGAGCAAGGGTTTCCCATTCCTACGCCTATTGGCGCAGACATGGCCATGGGGATGGAGCCACAGAGAACCCTCTCAGGCAATGGCCTGATAAGACCACCAATTGGCGAAGTCTCTTCGACTTCACAGTCTGAAACAAACTATACTTCCACTACGACAATGCAGCAGAATAACCAATCGTCAGCTCCTGATTCTAGGGTGCTGAACCCGACTTTTCCAACACTGCAGATGGCTGATGATAACGACACCTTTGCCGGTTTCAAGGGGCCATCGGACAGCCTCATCCAAACACAATCATTCAATCCTGACCTGACGGTACGCCAAGAGGATTGGGTGTTTGACGACGTTGATATGTCACTCTTCGACTCGCTCTTGAGAGAATCTGACGCACAAGGAGGTGGCAATGGTGACTACTGGTGGCTTTTATAAAGGCAGCATAGGCATTGTCTCATGCTTGATAGGTGGCGATTTGTTGGCTGAGGCGATGATTTTACAGCTGCAATACGCAAGAGCTATCGCCAAGAGCGATAAATTACCTCATAAGCAAAGCACGGATCAACGGTGAATTGGAGTGTAATTTCAAATCGTGATCATTGACTCAAAATTCGCTAATGCTACTTCACAAGAGGCTCTTGACACTTTGGGAGCTTAAATAATCCTCGGGTATCCTAGCCCCTCACTAAATTCTTCGCATTTAGTGAGTCTCCTCAATATCGTGAGCAGCACCCTCTCGCTGCTCAACCTTTGCGCGGCCATCCTTCTCGGCGACGTGGTGAGCACCAGACTCCGCTTCCGGGATGCCGAGCATGTTCGCGCCCTTATCGACGTGGTTGGCGCCACCGAACAGAACATCAATCTCCTCGAGAGGAATCTGCTTGGTCTCGGGAATGAAGAAGTAGACGAAGACAGCCAGGACAAAGTTCATTCCCATGAAGAAGAATAAACATTTGAGGCCCTCATTTGCCAGGAACTTGGGGAAGAACTGCTGGAAGATCTGGAAAGACAGTTAGTAACCTGTGTCATGATGGAATAGAGCTGTTACGTACCGTGTTGCCGACGTTCTGCATCTGAGAGCACATGCCGACGGCTTGCGCACGAATGTTCATGGAGAAAATCTCGGAAGTCCAGATCCAAGTGGCAGCTCCCCAGGAAGGCTTGTAGAAGAAGATGAATAGGAAGAGCAGGAAGACGATAGCGATTCCAACAGGCTCGGTCTTCGCGCCATCGTGAGTGGGAGTAGCGAGGCCAACGATAGATACAGCCAACATGCAGCATCCCATACCAATGGCACCGACAATGAACAGCCAGCGACGACCGAAGCGATCAGCAGTCCAGACAGCATTGAGAGTGAACAGGATACCGAAAGTGGCGTTGAGAGCGTTGATGAGGTTGATCTTCTCGGCATCTTTCCAGACCTTCTTGTAGATAGAGGTAGAGTAGCTGTTCAAGGTACCTTGGCCAGAGAGCTGTTGACCGACATTGATGACGAAAGCAAGATACAATCGCTTGCGAACCGAGGGATCCTTAAACAAGGCGGTGTAGGAGCTGCTGATGGCCTCCTTCTCATACTCGAGAGCCTCTCGGATGGCAGTGAGCTCCTCCTCGACCTCCTCCTCGGTGTCTCGAATCTTTCGGAGAGCGGCACGGGCAGCATCGATGTTGCCGTTCTTCTTGAGATGCCAGCGAGGACTCTCAGGCTGAAGAGGGAGCAGGATGATGATGATGATAGGGACGAGAATCTGAAAGATGACGACCATCTTCCAGTCCCACTCTCCGAGCGCCTCTCTGCGCTTGCCACAGGCATAGTTGATCCAGTAGGCAATGAAGGAGCCAACGGAGTAGAATAGCTGCCAGAATGCCATGATGTAACCACGGATGTGGGCTGGAGCCATCTCTCCGATGTACACGGGACCAGCTGTCAAGGCCATACCCTGACCCATACCGATGAGAACACGGCCGGCGATGAAGACGCCGAGCTTATGGTACGGGGCAAAGGTCTGCATGAAAGTTGCAATTATTGTGATGAAGCAGCCAATCATCATTCCATATCGTCGACCGAGGTAATCAGCGGTCGGACCACCGATAAACCAACCAGCAACAATGGCACCAATAGTGTAAGCCGTGTTGATGAGACCGATCAAGTATGTGTCTTTGTCCTGAACAGCATTATTAGTACACACAGCGATGACCCTGTATATGAAGAAGCTCACGAGGTCAAGATCGAACCAGTCCAGCCAATGCTGAGATCCCTGGACGGAGTTGAAAACTGAGGCATCATAACCATAGAGCACCATGCACATGGCAGCCACTAGGGAGATGTACCAGTTGTAAAGACGCTTTGCGGTCACCATCTTGACGGTGTTGGCAGAGGCTGACCGGTCTGCTGGGTATCTAACTTGACGATTCGGCCCGGGGCACAAGATAAGAGACGTCTATCCGGTAGCGACAAACACAAGACGCCGACCTTGGAGCACGAGAAAAGAAGGGATGAGCGAGGAAGAGGGGTGAGAATGTAAGTGAGGGTGGCCGACGAATTTATCTGCGAGATAGGAAGATCCCTAGTTATCACCATGCACGATTCGTTGTGAAGACAGTCGATAGCGACCCAGTTTTCGGACCGTCTTGGCCAGTCATGAGGCCTGGCTTCTGAAGAGTGACAGGGGCAAGGACTCAGTTTAAGGGAGAGATGGAGGGGAGACGCGAAAGCTCACAAGCCTTCTTTCTCACTCTTTCCCTCTTGGACATGGCTGCGTTGCTTCCCCAGTCCATAGTCAAACCGCAGCTGTCTTCCCCGTGGAGTCGGCCCTTAAGCTCGTGTTAGGGCACAATCTCCAATGAGAGTCTGGTTTTCCCCAGATGGATCACAGTAAAATTGGCCCGTCGCCCCTCAATGTGGTCTTTCTGGGGCGCCGGAGAAACTATCACTCTTCAGATTCCACCAATGGAAAACATCCTCAAGGCTCTTAGCCGTCGCTCCATGGTAGTGGATCTGGCGATGGTATGGGAGCTAAAGTCGTGCAACTTGGCCATGTGCGCCTCGAAGGCTGGGAAACCGGGATCACTGAACACGCTAGATGTTCTTATAGTTTGGCGTAAACGCTGGCGCCGCTCGCCTCTCCTTACCGAGCATGCAGCGTTCTTTACAACCCACCAAAGGGCTCATCAACTGCACCAGTCACGGGCTGCTTGCTCCCCAATGGCAATGGGAATCCGTTGGCTGAAGTAGTGACTAATGCCCTGTCATTGCATGTTTAGGACTTGCCGAATTCCGCCCATCTACCCGCGATGCCAGTAATCTTGGTTGAAGACCACGAATCAATCCTTCCATCACGGCTGATTGGGACCCTGAACTTCCCTTCTGGGCGACCTGCCTTGCATTCAGTTGCTAGGGTAAGATGCTTGATTAGAGTAGTATTTTGGGAGTCTTTCTGTTTCTATCGACTATTGATCACTTCGAAGGGCTGACTTCTAGTCCTGAGAAATGACGGTTGCCGAGGAGCCCGCGATTCGTCAGTAAGCCGGCGGGGCGTTCTTGGTTTGTCTTGTCCCGCAGTGCCAATTTTACAGCATTTGAGCCTCTTCGACCTCAGCTCCCGAAGAGAGTCCCGCTGAAACTCTTTATTGGCGGATATCAGTATTCGAGTTTGCCTAGCAGTCTTCGTTTCAACTTCATTGCTCATCACTTCACTGCTTTCTTGCGTGCCAGGGAGACTTGAGCGGGAATGCGTGACTGCCATGTGTTGTCATCTACACTTGCCGAGTTCATTCAGCGGCGCACGCCGCGTAATGACACTTATATCAAGACTGAAGGTGCCCGTGACCTCAGCCTTATCGAAACAGATATCACTGAGGTACCATCCCATCCAAGACTAGTAAGTCCAGACACGCGGCTGAGCCGTAGTTGCCTTCGATGATTCGTCCCAAGACATGATGCACAGCGCCTAGACTAGAACCGTTCAAAGGGGCCGGGCCCAAAATTGTCAATCTCGACGCGGCTAGAACAGTGCGGACGTGACAGAAGGATTCGAGCATGGGGTGTCGAACTATTGACCTCCTGTGAACAAGGCCAAATTTTCCGTCAAACAGATTGGCGGCATTGTGTTCTTCCACCAACAGCGGGGAAGCATAACTGGGGGTGGCTCTGTGGGGTAGTGCAACTGGAGCACGTCCGGGGTAAGCGGATAGTTTTGCCGGTCAACAGAGCAAACCATATTTCAAATTCCGAGAGGCAAGCGAACGAGTCTTAACGTCTAGGCACTAATGAGATTTGTTTACTCCAAGTCCTGTGAAGTGGTGATATCCATGGCGAGCAGAGTCCCATATCACTACCATCTCCTCTTCAAGATGATTGTGCATTATCTGTTGCTCGACTAAAGCCAACGGATGTAGCAATAGTGCGCATGCATGAAGGCTTACCAGATCAATGAGGCTTGTACCCGGAGCCTCTCGCGTTTCTCGGCTCCCCCAGCATTGATAGCTTCTAGATCCTTAAGTTCTTTGCGTTGCGCGTTGTCTCATCGTGATTGAGCCTATAGGTGAGTTCCAAGGTTCACTCAAACGGCTTTCACAGACATCCAGACAAACGCCAAAGATGTATGCTAATATCTCGATTTTCTCAGTGTTCGTTGTGATTCCCTTTGCATATATCTATGTATTCGAATCTATCAAATAGCCGAGCCAAGCTACTGGTGAAGCATCCTTTTTATCACCCACAACAAACCACAAAGATTGAAGACGATATTAGTTGAACATCAAGAGTGTATGCTTCCATTTGATCCATGCCCTCCACGTCACGACTACGATAGCAATCGATTCAACCACAGAACTTTTGTAGTATTCGTTGACTTCGTCGGATCCCACCGTTCATTACTGTGATTGTAAACGAGGCAGCACCATAAGAGTCTCAACTTGTTCTATCTGCAAAGACGTATTCGCAGAAACAATGGGGAGATATGTCCGCGGTAGACTCTCAGTACACGCCTTTGGCAAGTCGATGCTGCTTATTCCTCTGATATCTGGAAAGAAAGCCAGTATGAGCAGCGACGAGCATATTGCACCAAGAAGGTCGCAAGAAGAGATACCAACGCACCGAGTCTTTCCGGATTGGCGCACATCTGAATATATGTGACATTGGTGCCACCAGATGTGTCAATAACAGTAGTCAAACTCCACCAGACAACTCGATACGACAGGTCGATTTCTGATGGGGCCTAGGGTATGAGAGTGTCAGCAGCGAGCCCAATGAGCTAGATCATGAGATTGGAGCCATACTGACATGTGTTCCTGCAGTACTGCAAGTGCTGTTACACTGGCTTTGTGAGGCCGCGTTTGATAGGCAGGACTTTTGTGACGCGATATAAACTTGCCGCAACCAGTCCATTGCGAGTATTTTGGGTGCTTGCTTTGCTCATCGTTACATTGGTCCGCGACCGATGTGAACTTTTGCGGTGATGATGGTGTTCCCTCCTAAAAGGGGTGTGATCTGTCCTCTGGAGGTATTGGTTTTCAGTAGATGTGGGTGATGAAATGCCAAGTTGCCAATATCCAAAGCGATCCTTAACCGTCTGACCACATCATGTCGGGCCGTTAATGCTTGCACTGATAAGTTCGAGATACAGAGATTTCAAGAGTTTCCAGTGATCTTGGTGGAGCGATCCAATATGGGCAACCTCAACTGAAGTCTCTATATTCCAATTGTTGAGACAGTTCATCCAGGTATCAGCACGCAAATCAAAATGTTTCATCTCTATCGCGAATGGCGATCCTGCATTGGGAGGAACTTGCGGAGGATTGGAAGTGGCTTTGTACACAGGCCGATGAGTCCTGAAGAAGTCCTGGTCTTCTGATCCGTAAATATCAGGATGTGATTCGAGCGCCAGACATGTCGAAGCTTGTCCAGACGTGCTTAGAACGACCATCGTCCTCCCCCTGATATAGCTGTCCGGGCAGTGTTTCGCTACTTGGAACACTCGGCGCTGGTGAAACCAAGAGAGATCCCTTGGTCGGAAAAGTTTGGTCGGCACAGCTTCGACCGTCATCCCATCTTGATGCGGTTGCCGATAGTACGAATGAGAGCTACGATGTGTCGCATCTGCTAGATTCGCGAACCCCGATGGGCTATTTGACGTTCCGCAATCTTCATTCTGATCGTCTACGTCGTAGTAGTCTTCTCGACCCCTCCGTCGTTTCTGTCGCCATGGTTGGCTTTGCTGCCTCGACTCCGCGTTACCATTGTAGAACTGCGAGTCTATCGATTGATCGGAAGGTCCTTGGGCGTATCTTGAGGGATTACTCGATGGCAACTTCGGCGCTATTGGTTGCCATGGTTGTTGGTTGGATGCATCTTCTGGAGAGTGGGACTGAACCGGTATCGGTGGATAGGTTGTCTGTTGGGCATGAGCATAGTGTTGGGCTTGAAAGGAGTTATAGTTCGTCGGCGGTCCTGGACCTGGATTGTGATACATAGCCATTGATTAGCTTGCTGAGTTCCACATTTGTGCGTGCACACGTTCACAACTCCCACGCGCTCACTTACTTACCCTCAGCATTGCCCATCAGAGTCGGAGCCGATCCGTTGGCTTGATTCGCAGCATAATTACTGGCGCCAGCATTCATGCCGCCGATGACCTCCCCCGATTTGAGCGATCCATTGGGCGCCATTTGCCACAAATAAAATTGCGATGGAGGCTGGTTGGCCATGTTAAACAGAGTGGCATGATCGTGGGCGGTCGCATTCGTGTCATAATCACAAAATACTGCTGCTGCTTCGAGTGTCGAAATAACTTAGGTAAGCGCAACTCCCCACGCCAGGATAAGCCAGTTCGTCAGGCAATCAAACCTCCCAATGTCCCGTTGTGAGTGAAGGAGTTTTGCGGTTGAGTAGTGGGGTTGCCTGACCGCAGCCGCCCACCGCCAGTCTGATAATGTACTGTACTTCCATGCCTCAATCTACGCCTTCGGCTTCGCAAAGCTCGAGGCCAACCTTACCTTCCTAGAATTCATGAAATACATAAAATGAAAGGACATGAAAATCTTTGAGAGAAGCATGATGTGTTCACCATCGTAGACATTGCAATGACGGTAAGTGATTTACGAGTCATCAGTCTAGAATACTCAAAGGGACATGTTAGCAAAAAGTCCTGTTCCTCATAGCGTGAAAATGATCAGCAGAGAATACAGTGCCTACTATCTACCGCTGCGGTTATTGAATGGCGAAAGTGCAATTTCTCGCGTTTTTGATTTGTCCACGTATGCCGTCTCTGTAGCACAACTAAGCAGAAAGCCTGATCAGTGGGTGGCTCAATCTTGAGAGGTGGTGGATTTCCCTCCTTTGATTGAGGCGAGGAAACGAGGAAATCTAACGGAGCCTTCTCTGAAAAGCCTGCTCTAGGCCGCATTTCTACAAATATCAAAACACCCTTTAAGTAGGGTGACAAAAGTTGTCCGAATGGAGCTGAGCCGATTCTCGATCTGTAATCAGTATTACTCTCATCCCGGCGAATATGGCCGAAGCAGCTGGTCTGGCCCTAGGGGGAATTGCCTTGGTTAGCTTGTTCAAGTCGTGCGTGGACCTGTTTGAATATTTTGAGCTTGGGAAGAGCTATCATTACGACTATCATCTTGCGTCGACCAAAGTGAGGCTGCTGAGAGCTCGTCTCAACCAATGGGGTGACGAGCTGCAATCGCAGCAGACTGGTGAAGATGACAGCCTGATATGTTCAGAAAAGTGCACAACTATAACCGACAGTCTTTTGGGCATCAAGGAAATCTTGGGCTGCACCGACAAGTTTGGTGAAAAATATGGCATTGACCGACGTCGAGTTTCAATTTTACAACAGGTTGTCAAGCTCCCACTTCAGCTCATAAACGATCGGGACACAAGGGTTGAAGAGCACTATCAGAAGCGAAGCATTTCCATATCATTGCGCCGGAGGACGACCTGGGCTATACACGATAAGAGAAGGTTCGACTTGCTAATAGCAGATCTCGACTTTTTCATCACGAATCTCGAAAAGGTGGGTGTGCTTTACAACGCGCAGCCCTCAATATATCAGCCACGAGGTATGAGATTTGAACGCTTGAAGTGAGTGCATGCTTATTTGAAATAGATTTAACAAAGGCTGGTGTGACTTCAAAAATGTCTCAACAGCCTGATTGTTCCAAACCCCGACAGTCACCGGAGACCAACTGTGCGGATTGCCCACAGAATCTTGATATTAGACAGAAGCAGCCAACTGCGAATGCTCCTCAACCTCCTGCTGGGGAGCATCCTGCTAGAGGTGCTCCTGTGAGTCAAGCAGGAGACCAGTCTACTTTTGTTGAAGTTGCTGTGACTAGTACTGAAAACTCGTCTACCACGACAAAACATGTGTACCACAACAACAGTAGCTTAGACAAATCTCTCCTCTTGGCTTCTGACTTGGGCAAGGTCTCTTCTACGAAAGGTCATGTATACTATAAGAATACGTCTACTGGAACGAGTATCTTGGTAGCTGGTGATGTCGATCATGCGTCATTGAAAACGCTTCTCAACACACATATAAAAAGACCTTAATAAGGTGGTCTATTTCAGTAGAAAGTAGCCTCAATTCTAAAGAAAGCTGACCGCTTAAGCCGCTCGGATTCAAATGCAGCATCTTCAAACTACATCATTGTGATCCATCTAAAAATGCTGCAAGTAATTGAATCTCACTTATACACCTCTTCGCCTTGGTAACGCATACGGTGCATGTTCTAATGTTCTCCAGATTATCCCGCTTTTGCTTCTGCCAAACAGGTAGACCGATACCTCGAATCATATGCGAGTCATTTTGATTTATTTCCCCATATTAAACTCTCCAAGTCTGTGACTAGAATCGAGAGGGATATAGCCAATAGCAAATGGGTAGTAACAGTCAAAGACGTGAAGGATGGCAGTGAAGAAACCCATATATTCTCAAGGGCTATTATTGCTACCGGCATTCTAAGCAAACCAAATATACCAGGAATAAAGGGCATAGAGATGTTTAGGGGAGAAGTTATTCACTCTCGAGCCTTCAAAGACCCTTCTAAGTACGCAGACAAGCAAGTCGTTGTGGTTGGCATAGGTGCCACGGGAGCGGACACGATAGCTTTCTTGAAGGACGCCAAGGCTACAAAGATATACCTTAGTCACCGGTCACAGATTCTTCTAGTAAGTAGAAAGAGCCCTCATACTATATTATCCATGAAGAGATGGTAACGCTGATCCCTACCAGACACCAAAATCTGTCGATGGAAAACCGTTTGACCAACATATGTCTCACAGATTCATGACAATTATACAAACACTCGGCAGCATCGCACCTTCCACATTCATAAATCTTATGAGTAAAGCAATGGTCAGCATAAGAAGAAAAGCTTTCCCATGGCTAAATGATCATCCTTCGTTCAACAAACCACGGCCGTTTCAGAAATTTCTGCATCGAATACCAATGACCTCTTCAACCCTTGCCGAGAGTCTCCGCGATGATAACGTTGAAACGGTTTTTGGTATCCAGGAGATTACTGGTCCACATTCGTTGACAATGTCAGATGGAAAGACCTTGGAAGATATTGACGCTATCATCTTCTGTACTGGCTATGATTACGACTTTTCATTAATACGTGGTGTCGGCAGTCCTATAGACCCAACTATGGCCCCAGACCATTTCGACAAGATTAAGGCAACAAAGTACTATAATCCGGAGAACCCATTTCCTCGGCTCTACCAAGGGATAATTTCAGAACAGTTTCCAGAGTCGCTAGCAATTCTCGGTCATGCTATTATGATGGGTAGTCTATTTGTGGTATATGATATATACACAATGGCTCTTGCTAGTCTCTGGGCTGGTAACTATCCTCAGGCCTCAGCAAAAGAGATGGCCAGAGATATCGATACTCAGTACAACTTTTTCGTCGACTTGCTCAAGGAAGGCCCAGTACCTCATCTCGGCTTCCGTTTGATTGTCAAGGATACATGGAACTGGATGCACAACGCTGCTGGTACCGGCATCACAGAGTGTTTGGCATCTTTCAAGTGGGCTGCTTGGAAGTTTTGGTGGAGCGACCGCCGTTTCTATAACTTACTCATGGATGGAATTACTGTACCTGCTATGCACCGTCTATTTGACACTGGAAGGGGACGTAAGCCGTGGGCTGAGGCCAGAGCTCAGATTCATGCGGAAAACGAGCAGGCAAAGGCACTAGTGGAGGATTGGAAGAAACAGAACAGATCAGATTACCAGACCAGTCGATGAGTACACCCTCAATTAGCAATATTTGAAAAAAAATTAAGCATCCCATTTTCATTGCATCGTTAGCACATTCAGGCTCTAGACCCGAAACCAGGTTTTCTTAACTCCGATTATGTCTTTGCCGCTTCCTTCGGGCAACTAAGCTCGCAGTGTTCAATCGTATGTAAGACTGTGCCGTTTACGTCATCACCCCTATTGGCTATTTTCACTGGCTTTACGGCGTAGTCAGGGTTTAGCATCCAACTCCAGAAGAAAGATCGTCAGCTGAGAGGGGCATTCGAGATGACTGGTTTCCGCAGTTTCCGTTAGTGAAACAACAGAACATAGTTTCTATCGGGGGTGGCTTTAAAAGCTTAATAGTGATTGGCAACCACTGCCAAATCTGATCGCTGGAAGCGGTAGATTGTGATTGTTCGAGAAAACGGAGAATCCAAAGCTGAATATGGCGGATTTTGGGTAAGTCGAGCCCACATGTCTAACCTCAAATATGCACTCAAGTCTTGGGCACAGGAAAGTCAACTACGCTTCAGAGCGATACGCAAACTTTCGACCTGCTTGGACAAGCAAGTTCTACGATGCGACACTCGATTTCCATCGGGGTGGAAATGATGTACTGGTCGATCTAGGCTGTGGCCATGCACCAGTCTCCCTTGAACTGTCGTCGCAATTCACTGAAGTCCATGCTTGCGACCCATCTCAACCTATGTTGAAGACGGCGCAGTCCTTGTGTGCTGGTAAGAGCAATATCTCTTTCCACAAGGCACTTTCCGGATCGCTGCCTTTTTTGAAAGACAAGAGCGTCGATCTTGTGGTAGCAGCAGAAGCAGCTCATTGGTTCGATTATGATCAGACTTGGCCTGAGCTTGCCCGTGTCGTCAAGCCTGGTGGGACAATAGCCTTTTGGCTCTATAACGAGAACGTCTTTCCTAAGCATCCAGTCGCGACAAAGATCGTGGATGAGCATTGTTTTGGGGGAGAGGGTACTATGGGCCCTCTCTTCCAACAACCCGGTCGACAGATCTTGAAGGACCTTCTCAAGGCAGTTGTACCACCAGAAGAGAACTGGGCTGATGAGACGAGAATATTGTATAACCCAAGGCACAATGGGTCTGGAGAGAAACCTACTGGAGAGAGACTGATATATCAGACAGTTACTCTCGGAGCTTTCGAGGAATACGTAAGGACCATCAGTGCCTATCGTGGCTGGATAGACAAGTATCCTGATAGAAAGCCTAAGGCCGATGGTGGCAAGGGCGACATTGTAGATGAGATGCTAGAGAAGATGGTAGAGGCTGAGCCAGAATGGAAGAAGATTGGGAATGGTTGGAGGGACATTGAGGTTGAGGCGGAATGGGGTACCGTTATCTTGCTTGCTCGCAGGAAATAATAGTTGGCGGCATTATAATCATAGCCGTAATCTACACGGATAGCTTTAAGAATGAGAAAAGTACAATTTGGACAAAGAGAAGAGAAATGGTCTAAATAAAGGTTCAATTTGAAATTTCTGGTCATATCCTTTTTGAACAGAGTTGGATTTCAAACAAGTAGATTAGATGTTGTGACTTACAAAAACACGCTGCGTGTCCTTACGTGATATCATTTGATGCGCAAACATAGCTACAGCCTCGCGACACCTAGGCTTCCTTCAATGAATCAAAATTAGTTTTGTAATTCTATAAATGTCGCTAAAATGCTAAATTTCCAGGACAAACATCCGTTAGTCCCGCAAACGGAGCTTTGCCCGGCCGCTAAGGGAGAACATGCACCCGCGACATTAGCTAGGGTGACGTGAAGAAAAAGAAGTTGGGATAGAATTGATACGAGCCGCCAAGTATTTTTGAGGACAAATGACACGAAATAAAATACAGATATCCGAAAATCATTTCGAGTATCCGCGATGGCGGTTATCCGTCAGCCACTGCGAGCCCCGGCAGTGTTCCGGCCATTAGGCCCTTGCCCGGTTAGGCTGCTAAAATTTCCGGCACCGAATGCCGGGATAGTGTGGCGACTTGCAGTAGTCTCGATTTTGGCATCTCTTCGGCCGAGGAGAGATGGCGTTTTTACACTAAGTGGGGCAATCCTTTACGGAGACAATAAATATTTGTTGACGTAGAGCCCCGAGTGCTCTCCGTGAGTCTCGATTGACATGTTGCCGGCTGGAGCTGAGTCCAGCGCAAATCGAGGGCCGGAAGGAAGGACGATGTCATCAAAGCTCGACAACAACCCCAACGATGAGAAGCTAGCGCTTCCTCCCCAGGACAAGGAGCTCCGCGAGACGCCGCCTCCACCGACATCGGCCGAGCCCGTGAATACTGCTCCGGAGGTCAGCGACGATGATGATGACCTGAGCCACGATGATGGACGGCCTAAGACGCTGCCTTTCTCCAAGGGGAGGTGCATTGCTCTTGTTGCGACCTTGACGGGGGCCAGTTTCATGAACACACTGTCTCTTCAAGCCGTAGTCATCATCCTGCCAACTATCGGCAGAGCTCTCGATATACCCGACAGCCGACAGCAATGGATTGTATCTGCTTACTCACTAACGTTTGGTTGCTTCCTCCTTCTATGGGGTAGGATAGCAGACATTTATGGCAAAAGGAAGATCTTTGTCCTTGGATCTGCATGGGTCACGGCAACGACCCTCGTGAATCCTTTTGTCCCTAATGAGATTGGATTCGATATCTTTCGAGCTCTCCAGGGGCTGGGCGCCGCAGCAAATGTACCAACAGCAATTGGTATTTTGGGAACAACATTTCCTCCTGGAAAGGCTAAGAACTATTCCTTTAGCGCCTATGCTGCTGGTGCACCCCTTGGATCCATTTTTGGAAACTTATTGGGAGGTTTAATCGCCTCCTACGCGAATTGGAAATGGGTGTTTGGTGCTATGGCCCTCCTCGCCTTGATCATTACTGTTGCCAGCGTATTTGTCATTCCGCCTCCACCAACAACCCTGCGCGCCCAAGGAGTCCGAGTCAAGGCAACGGTTGATTGGATCGGCGCCGTGATTATCACAACCGGCCTAGTCGCTCTCCTATTTGCTCTCACAGAAGGGAACGTGGTCGGCTGGTCAACTCCATGGATCCCCGTGCTTATCGTTGTGTCCATAATCCTCATTGCGATATTCGTATTCTGGCAGCGTTACCTCGAAAAAACAAGGAAAGCTACACCGTTGATGAAAGTGTCAATATTCAAGAGCAAACGCTTCTCCGCGGGAATGTTCATAATGGCTCTGTTTTTTGCCAGCTTCAATGGTTATCTAGTTTACGCGACCTATTACTTTCAAGACTATCAAGGTCTCTCGGCAATACAGACGACATTGCGCTTCATTCCAACTGGCATCATGGGAGTTACTACCGCAGCGGTCGTATCAAGACTGATTGCAGTTATTCCGACTTACATGCTCCTCTTGTTTGGTAATTTCTGCGTCTCTGTATCATGTCTTCTCTTTGCAGTGCCGATCCCGGCAACTACGAGCTACTTTGCCTACGGTCTCCCGGCTATGATACTGTGTGTGCTCGGTGCCGACACAACATGGCCCAGTTTGACACTTTTTACCAGCCACAGTCTTCCACACGAGGATCAAGCAATGGGAGGCGCCTTAGTCAACGCTGTTGGACAGTTTGGTCGTGCGATAGGCCTCGCTATCGGAACCGCGATACAAACAGCGGTGATGGCCCACGAAAGGGGCACTGATGTACAGCATGTTGGCTCGTTACAAGTGCACGAAGACGCAACATGGCTGGGATTGAGAGCAGCTCAGTGGTTAAACTTCGCTCTCGGTATGACATCCTTCACAGTGGTTGCGCTCGCGTTCCGAGGATCAGGAATCATAGGCAAGGCTGGAGTGCAGGAGCGCGGCAGAACAGGAGGTGAAGAGGGTATCATGGATGAAGAAAACGATTAATTTTGGATCTTGTTTCTAGCTATATAAAAAAATCGTCGATCATATTCATATTCACACTGAGACGGCCAAAATACACGTGAAATGGTCATTTGGATTGTGAGCAGCTAGCTTAGAGTAACATGCGAGTCCTCTACGGTAGCATCCGATTCTGGCACCTAGCGGAAATAAGTCTTCCATCGTGACCCGAAAACCGGGTATGCGTTGACTATGTATGCTCGTTCAAGAGCGGCTCTTGGTCCTCCGAAACAACAGCAAAAGCGTTCCGGCTCCCGAAACCCAATGGGAGAAGATTTCATGACGGCTCGGCGGCCTTAGTCTCCTATAGAGCATTGGCCCACCGCGACTGCAACGCTGCGTACCAGTACGATTTGAAGCGATTTATATTTGTAAAAGCAGAGCAGAATGTTCAAGATTCCTGATGGTTTATATTGCAGAGAATCAAGTTAATCCATATCGTATTTGACAACCATTATCTATGCGACGATGAAAGCAATCACCATTTTGCCTTTAGTCGGTCTAGCAAGTGCTCAGGCTTCCGCTTGGGGCCCGTGTAAGGCGTCTCACACGCACCTATACCACAATACATCACTCTAGCTTGGCTTCTGACATGATCACTCACAGGTGGCGGATATAGTTACTCTGGCGACACGTCTTGTATTGGAGGCTATTACTGTTCCACAATCAACGCGTATTATGCTCAATGCGTACCTGGCACAGGTAATAGACACCGGACTTCTGTAAATGCGGGAGACTACCCGACTGATTGGAAGAGCCATGCTGACTAGTCCGAAGCAACTACAACAGTAGCTACGGCTACGAAGACAACCACCACGCCCAAACCCGTTTGCACTGCAAACTGTAGCAAGACCAGATACGCCGGTGTCAATATGGCCGGGTATGACTTTGGGTGTTCGAGCGACGGCACGTGTAACGTGGGTGGTCACTACGACATCGTTCGAGATGATAATGCTTTGGCGCAGATGGACCACCTTATCTCCATCGGTCTGAATGCATTTCGTTTGCCTGTAGGATGGCAATTTCTGGTCGGTAGTGTAGCCGGTGGGCCACTGAATGCGACTAATGTCGCGGCGTATGATGCTCTGGTTCAGGGCTGTCTAAACTCAGGAGCAGCGTTGTGTCTAATTGACATCCATAATTACGCGCGCTGGGACACCAAGATCATAGGGCAGGGCGGACCTACAAACGCCCAATTTGCAAGCGTCTGGAGCCAACTTGCTGCAAAGTACAAGGGCGAATCGCGTATTGCATTTGGTATCATGAACGAGCCGCATGATGTTCCAGATATCAAAGCCTGGGCAGTAAGCGTCCAAGCAGCAGTCACCGCAATCCGGGAGGCGGGCGCTACAACACAAATGATCTTTCTCCCAGGTAACGACTGGACCTCAGCGGCCAAATTTATTTCAAATGGGTCTGGAGATGCTTTGAAGAATGTTACGAATCCAGACGGCAGTGTGACAGGCCTCATAATGGACGTTCATAATTACCTTGACTCCGATAACTCCGGCACCAACACGGAGTGTGTAACAAATAACATCGACGATGCCTTTGCACCACTAGCGGACTGGTTGAGGGCCAATAATCGTCAAGCGTTTCTCAGCGAGACCGGCGGAGGCAATGTAGCAAGTTGCGAGACGTTGATGTGCCAGCAACTGGAATATCTAAAGTGAGCGTTGTAGTTCTGACGAAAGTCTAATCGCTAACATGGTCGCAGCCAAAATGCCGATGTTTATCTGGGCTGGACAGGCTGGGCAGCCGGCGGTTTTGCCATTGGATACCCACTTGCAGAGACTCCTACTCTATCAGGCGGTGTCTGGACCGATACCAGCCTGGTCTCGAAGTGTATTGCAGGAGTCTGGGTCTGATCTTATGAGCTGTAGTCCTAATGAACAATATTACGGTCACCTGATTATTTGGCAAACACAAGAGACAAGCCCTCAGTTACTATGAAGTAGTAAATATGGGATGACAATCTTTCATTTTCCTATGACCAGAGCTCGGTCTCCTTCCATTTAAGTATGCACCCCTTGCTAAACTTTGATCTTCCACAGCGAGGAATTATTGTCTTCAGAAGATCCAATCTATATTGAGCACCAGTCAGAAGTCTTGCCGCGTTACCTTCCTTCCCCGTGCCAGCTCGATAATGCTGAGCGAGAGCTGACGCAGACACGGACGCTTTTGAGCCATCGTCACTGATATTTATGCGTACATTTGTAATAGAATGAGTTGTTTCAAGCTTGTAAATGTGATCGAAGCAATCAGAGCGGATTACCGACACGCCGTCCATAGCTCGTCCATTGAATTCAAGTCGCGCGTCATTCGGAAAGGCTGAGTTGAAGAGGGCCAAATCATTTGTGTCCAAGCCAAGAATACCTCGATATAGAGCATCAATGATGGCCCCTCTATCACTCAATGGAGGAGAAAGCACGAATGGGAGGGCTAGAAATGAGGACATGACTGAGAAATGTGCACTTAATCGTGTTATAGATTTCAATGTGAAGCTCAAGTCCTGGCAAACTTTCTTAACATTTTGTGTGAAGGCCCCGAGATATATATATGTCTTATAAGAGCCACCACCACATGATCATGGATTGGTTCGAGACCAACATTTGGAAGGAACCGAAGTCTAAGGCTGTCGGTCATTGCATAAACCCGAATGTTAACCCCCCAGCTGGTATCTGCGGCATCGGTTTTCCGACCTTCCCCTTTATGAGAACCAAAGCCAGGAGGTCGCAGAGATATATTGAAGGCCTATATCTTATCGAAATCATTAATTACCGCAACCGAATATGGCTGGTTGTACTTGCTCCTCGGTCGATGCTTTGATTACCTCAAATCCACATATGAAGCACACGAATTGCTGTAAATCATCTGAATACGAGGTATTATATCGATCCACCAAGATTTACAATGAAATGATTCTACTAGGGGAGTCATATGTGCCGTTCTAAAAAAGTTATAGAACTCAGCTTTGAAATCAACGCCATAGTTAATGAAAAGGAAGGTAGATCTAGTGTCCGGCACGACGAGCATGATAGATTCGTACATCCATGGCTTCCAGATGATGGATTCAATTAAGCGTTCTCATCAACAGTCCCCTGTTTATGGATTGGAATGCATCAAGCTAGCAGAGCAAAGTACTCACGCGGCCCTGTTCGGTGCTCGTACTAGGGCCCGACCACCTTTACTTGAGCGTTTCCGCGAGACTCGGAAAGCTATTGCCGAGCGACATCCAACTTCGATTCAGTGTGAGAGTTTTCTCGGTTGACATCTGTGAACTCTCGTCGTAATCGACTGATGGTTCGTTGATGTTGTAAGTTTCTATCTTCCTGCTCTCGTAGCATCCATATGTCTGTCTCATTTGTACGAACGGTGATCAATGCCGGACCGTGGCCAATAAAGCCGTCGGCTTCAAAATGTTGCTGCGGCAATTTGATGACATTTCGTGGTGCATACGCTGTTACGTTTGTGTTGGAACCTGTCCGACGCATTTGTAAATCTTGTAGTTGATGTTCAAGATGTAATCGCCGACCCTGGCTTTCTTCAAGCTGTTGCCCGGCCTGTCTCTTTGTAAAAGAAAGATCCCCCGCACTCTTCTAGGGGAATATATGTCGGTCAAGCAGACGGACTTACTGGATAAAAGGGCTGGTCTTGAGATTTGCTTCCCCCAGGCTGGTTCATTTATATGCCGATTTACTCCTGGGACAGTAGACGTAGGACGTACCTAGGTAGCCTCACAACGACATGTGCATGGCGCCTTTGGCCTGTTTAAGATACTACACTGTCTGAATACCCAGCCTCAGCTGCTGCTGCTCGAGGCAATCTGCAAGCAGAGATGGTCTGTTTGAGTGGGCCACAAACCTCCTGTAAATGTTAAAGTGCAGCCAAGATATGCATCACTGTAAAACCCGAAAAGTTGATTGCGAGAGGCTTTTCAGGTAGACTTCACGTTACACGGAACGGTTCGTAGCGCCACTCTCAGAGTTCAACGTTGCTGCAGAGCGAATCATCAAGCCCACTGCCTCACGCAGTGCGTAGCCAGGGAATATGGCTCGTGGCAATTTCTGCCCCTAGTTGGTGAAGCAACTTCTGATACTCTTAGGACCGGGTCTTCACGGGGAGGGGGGAGGAAGACAATTCAGTGTGATTTCACTTTCAAATTTGCTTTCAAAGATGATAATCTAGAAGTACATGGTATATGATAACAATAACAAAAAAGCAGTCAACGTTTTCCAGCTCTTGGTTGCGTTGATCATGCATGCCCGACCCAATCTCTAATGCTTGCCTGTTTGCATATAAATGATACATCATTACACATTAATCCGTCGCACACATTTCATGTCGTTCATTTTTAATTTTCTCCCGTCCGCAAACGTTTCTCACAGAGACCAGGGGTGGTGTAAAGGCCCTCGAGCTTACTGGCGAGGCCGGGCAAATCGGTGGGCGAAGGTACCGTTCCACGGCGGATAGGTGGTGTGCCACAGTCCGTCGTCGTATGTGCGACTGCTGCTGGGTTCTGTTGGCAGCAGAGTCGTGGTGGTGATAAAGGTTGGGGTGGTGAAGACGCTGGATGTTATTGAAGCAGTCTCAGATGTCTCAAGCGGGAGGGAAGTGGTAGTGAGTGATATTGATGAGGAGGTTGTTGTTGAAGATGATGAAGAGGAGCTGGAGAATACAGCTTCTGATGAGGAGGTAGTCGAGGATATCGAGATAGAAGTTGACGATGTGATTTTGTAGGATGTTGAAGAGGGCTGCTCGTCCTCGTAGATGGTAGTTTTGATGGTGATCGGAGCTGGCGTCGATGCCGGCGGTGGGTTGACGTTGACGATAGACACCTTGGTCACGTACTCTGTGGTCTCCTTGGGAGATGCGGTGACGGTGCTTGTGAACTTTTCTGTGATCGGCGGCGAGGTCTTGGTGACGACAACCGTTACAGGGGCTTGGTCAGGGCCGGAGCTAGATCCTGTCTCGGACCCAGACCCAGATCCAGTCCCAGAGCCGGAACCTGACCCGGAGCGAGAGCCCGAGCCGTTGCCACCGTCAATGGGCACCACAGAGTAAGTAGCCCTGGGTTGTAATCCCTTGAATCGGTGCAGCTGTTGACCGACAAATGGTAGTGAAAGAGTATGATCGCAGAAGGCAGACAGGGCCAGAAGAAGTGGCACTGGTAGACTTTGAAGACGCATCTTGAAAGACTGCTCCAAGATGGTGCTAGTGAATGATAATCAGAGAAGGAGAGGCTACCCACGAGATCTAGTGGATATCCAATGGAGATTTTGTAGGAAAGCTGAGGGTTTGAAGAGGTTGAGGATGAGTAGAAGAGTGGAAAGAAAACAAACCTGAAGCGATCGACGCAATATTAGTCACATATAGATATAGAGCGCACCAACGAGTTGCAATATGAGGAGGTTGGAGGTTGCGTGGATGCTGGTCTCACGATGCAGAAGGTGAGATGAAGGGTTCAGCATGTGAGGAATGTGTGTGGCTGGTGGCTGCCACAAGCGTCAGGAACATAAGCCTTCTCATTGGCTGAAGTTCCTTCTACTGGGTTAGTCAGCGGATCCAGCCGGCTCACCAGCCACTTTGTTTCTGGGGTTAACCTCGCGCGCTAAACCGTTTCCGGCCAAACCCCAGCAGGACAATGCTGTGGCCTGAGCGCCTAGAACACAGAAAACGGTCTTTGTCCGCTGGTTGTCTCTCCACTGTGTTTCATTCGCCATTTAGCAGTCATCTAGATGACTGTTTCCGATTGAAAAGAGAAGAATAGTTGTATTTTAAGATATTTCCACTGAGATTGGATTCTTCTCATTGTGAAATTGTAGGTATCGAACGGCACCGGTTGCGCCATGCCGGTTATTCGGCAGGCTGCCTCTTGCTCTTCAGTTCGCACCGCCACTGAGGCAGGCGAAGAAGCTTGGTGGTGTGGAAGAAGCTCAAACGCTACATGGACCTACAGCAGGGAGCTTGAGCCACCTAATGAGCACCCCAACAAGCACCCCACCTCGCCCACCTCAACAGGGAGGGCCTCACAGATCGCCTCCCGATGACGATGCAACGCAGCAGGGCCCCATGCCCCTGTCGTGCTGTAGCCTGTAGGGCAGACAGATCGTCCCATTGTTCGATGCAGATGTGCCCCACGCATATTCTGAAGGCACCTAGAGCCTAGGTACAGTAGGTATTCAGATGGTTTCATGAGGGTTCGGGTTCGGTGTAATTCGTGATCAAGAAAGATGCTTGATAACTGAACGGTAAGCCGTGCAATGGTCTTGGGCACAGCACAGTACCTAGCGTGCCTATGCCTAGGTAGTCCAAGGAACTTGCAGCCGTTGCAGAGGTGCCGTGCCACTTACGAACTTACGACGACGGGAGAGCACAGCGCCTCTGATCCAGCGCACATGCCATCCACAATCACAATGATGCATTTCATTCAATGGAACCGGCGGCGCTCCAAATGACGTTGACCTGAAGAGGAGCTTCCTTACTTGAGGTTCAACAGCTGAGCCACATCCAATTCATCAGCAAAGGCGCTGGGGCGCTGGGGCTACACGACAAACGGTGTCCCAGTGTCCCGGTTCCGCTGCATGGAGCCAACAGAAGGCACCGAGGGCACACCATAGCCACACAGAGCGGCACAGCCCCGCCCCTTGGGTATTGGCACGCATCACACACCCACTCAAGGCCACTCTCGAGCCACTCTCGAGCCACTGTAGACAGGCGCCATCAGGATGATGGGATCAAGGTTTACTGCGTAGTACATGTAGAGGAGAGCAGCCTAAGATACAGTAGCTCACACTCACTCGCCTTCAAGATTCCACGCCGTCCCTCTCTAGCCGACTCGACTCAGCTCAGTTGACTGATTTCAATAGATCTATTATTAAATAAACCCTGCTGGCTCTTGACATCCCCATCCCCATCCTGTGAAACTTTCCTCTTGACTTTCCTTCTCCGCCTTCTTTCGTTGTGTGTGCGCGCATCTTCGTCTCCTGAACTTTGAGCTTCCACAGAGCTCGAATTCACCGACCCAAGCTTAACGTTACCTGCCCCGCGCGTTCTCGAGCCCATTACGTAGTTGGGCCCCCCCTCCTCTCTCTCCAGCAGCAAGAATCCCACCAGGCGCATTTCTATCGCACCACTCCTTCCGAACTCACTCATCTGTCGGGAACTCATCATTTGATATTCGATTGAATTGAATTATTGAGAATGTCTTACGGAGGAGGCTATCAGCCGCCATATGGCCGTGAGTATCAAGTCCTGCATTCTGAACAGAGCGGAGGGAGCGAGATCGCAGACAGCTAACATGCCCGTGTGCCGCAGAACCCCCGCCTCAGCAGGGAGGATACTATCAGCAACCCCCTCCCCAAGGCCAATATCCCCCTCCCGGCCAATACCCTCCACCTCAACAAGGCGGCTACTATCAGCAGCCTCCTCCTCCGGGTCCTCCCCCTGGCCAATACGGCTCGCCCGCTCCTCCTCAGCAGTACAACTACAGTCAACCTCCACCGCAGCCTGGCTACGGGCAGCCACCTCCTCCACCACAGCCGTACGGCGGCCACTCGCCGCAACCGCCTCACGGCGCCCCCTACGGCGCTCCTCCTCCCCCCCACGGCCAGTATGGCCAGCCGCCTCCGCCCCCGCCCCAGCAGTACGGACAGCCCCAATATGGCGCGCCGCCTCCCCAGCAGCAGTATAGCAATGTGCCCCCGACGCCGCCCTCGATCGGCTACGGCGCGCCGCAGATCATCCAGTGGGACGGGGCCCCGGACGCGGACGCGCTGCGGCGGGCGATGAAGGGCTTCGGCACGGACGAGAAGGCGCTGATCCGCGTGCTGGCGAACAAGGACCCGCTGCAGGTGAACGCGATCCGCGACGCCTACACGCGCAACCAGCGCCGCAACCTGATCGAGGACATCAAGAGCGAGGTCAGCGGGTGGTTCGAGGCGGGCCTCGTGGCGCTCGCGCGCGGGCCGCTGCTGCACGACGTGTACATGCTGTACGAGGCGATGGACGGGCCCGGCACCAAGGAGAAGGTGCTCAACGACGTGCTGCTCGGCCGCTCGAACGCCGACATCCGCGCCATCAAGTCCGCCTACTACCAGACCTTCCGCCGCAGCCTCGAGGAGGCCGTCAAGGGCGACCTGTCGCTGAAGACGGAGCGCCACTTCATGATCGTGCTGCAGGCTACGAGGGCCGAGGATGCTGCGCCCGTCGACAAGTTCCAGATCGACCGCGACGTCGAGGAGCTTTACAATGCCACCGAGGGCAAGATTGGCACGGACGAGATCAAGGTGTGCAGCATCCTGAGCACGAGGAACGACAACCAGCTGCGCGCCATCTCGCACGAGTACAGGCAGAAGTATGCCAAGAACCTGGAGGACGTCATCCGACGTGTAAGTTGGGATCCATGAAGCAACAACATCTCACGACTGCATGCTAATCTTTCTTTTATCAGGAGTTCTCAGGCCACATGGAAGATGCCCTTCTCTACCAGCTCCGACAGGGCATGGACAAGTACATGCACCAAGCCACCCTCCTCGAGGCTGCCATGGCCGGCGCGGGGACCAAGGATCATCTTCTGGTGTCTCGCGTCGTCCGCAACCACTGGGACCGTAACCACATGGCCAATGTCCGCGGCGCATACGAGAAGCGCTACGGCAAGAATCTGGCCTCGCGCATCAAGGGAGAGACGAGCGGCGACTACGAGAGGCTGCTGTTGGCTTGTATCGGCGAGCGTGTCTAAGTGCGTACTCTCGTCTTGTAGGATATTCTCGTTGTTGGCTTTCGTGAGGGCCGTCGTATTTGGTGGATTTGCGGTATCATGGAAGACTGGACGGGATGGGCTGGGATGGGCTGGGCTGGGCTGGGGCATCATGGGCCACATGGCAAGGGGTTGGGCCGTTATTGGTACCTAGGTATTTCTCTCCTAAGCAGCTCTGTACATCTGTGCAATATATACCCTTAATTACTGAGGCTACGTTCATTTCAAGCCCGTGTCAGCGAGACCGCCCGTCAGAAACATCAGGCTTTGAATGATGTACAGGGTCAAGGTAGTGCTTAGTAGCTTTAATCTATTTTAGTTATCTCACAGCAGCTTTATACACTGAAGAACCCGCCCTAATTAGAAGCTCCCCTCCGAGTCAACCGAACAGAACCAGAGCACCTATAGGTAGGTATCTAGGTCTCATCGAACACAAATGACGCCTTCCACGCTAGATATTAAACAAAGACGCTTCAGATCCAGATTGGGAGTGGTAGAATCAGTCATAGATAAGGCACAAAAGGCTGGAGACTCGCCCTGATTAGTTATTAATTGAGTTTCTCGTCTCGGGTGTTACATCCCCTGGCGCTGTAAATGAACCCAAGCTAATCACAGGCTGGGAAAGTGGTCGCGAAAACGGCATTAATTAGCGTGGCCTGTTGGGTCCCCCAGTCCCCCGCCAAAAAGAAGGTTCAAATGCTTTAAGAAATCTCAGCGCCCTAAACCTGCCTGTTACAAAATAAATTGCCATCCGAGCCAATGGGCGGCCTGGCTTTTAAGTAACTGTGGGGCGCTACGCTGAGTTTCTACTGCATAGCACTGTAGTGTGTATTAAGTAGCATGATGGAGCACTAATATGATACTAAAGTTTAATTAAGAGCAAAAAGATAAGTAAGGGAAGGTAGCCCCTCTGTTTTACAGTATGCTCTTTCCCTTGAAAGCTGCCCCCTTGTCCGTCATTCACAGCAGGAGCGAGCGTGCGTGCCTGTCTTGTCTTGTCTTGTCTTTAGGTAGCTCCTTCCTGGTGCATTTCAACTACCACGCGCCGCCGCCACGCTTTACATTGCGCCGCGCTTGGGTCGCGATAAAATCCGTCTTGTGCAACCCGAACAACTCAGTACCGGTAGGGATGGATCATCATACTGCTTGTTTCTCCTGTTAGCAGCCGCTAATATGACCTGAGTAGACCAACACCATCGCGAATGCATTTGACAGTAGTGAAATAGCTGGCGTTCATTTGATCCCTCTGCTCTTCACTTCTAGGGCGTTTGGGAATCATAATACCTGCACATTGACTCTAGTCACCTGACAGTCACGTGCAGGAAAGGGGATAGAACATATCAAGCGATTCCAGGATCTTCAGGGGGAGGAGGTCAGAATGGCGGCGGCACAGCCTCAGCAACAGCCAGAGGCCAGGCGGGAATTATCAACATCTACTGCGGTCTCCGCGCCGGCCACTCAGCCGCCTTCAACACCACAGATTGTCTCCGATGTTCCGAGGCCACCACAGCCTGAACCAGCTCCTCCAGTACAGAGTCAACCTGATCAACCCGGTCAGCAACAGCACTCTGTTCACAACAATGTACAGCATCAACCGAGTGCTCCCAGACCGCCGCCACCTCCGATATATGCTACGGTGCCACCACCAACACAACAGGCACCACCATCACAAGGTCCACCCCCACATGCCAGATACACTGGCTACACTCCAGGTCCACCACAGCAAGGGCCTCCCCAACCAGGTCCTCCTCCAGTCCATCTTCATGCTCATCCGCCAGGCCAGGGCCAATGGAGACCGAACCTCGATCACAACGCCGCCATGCGAAGGCCCGTGATCATGGATCCGCCGAGGCGGCAACAGGTCGAGCCTCCCAGGGATGGCTTTGCATCTCCAGAACATGATCATGCTCGAGAAAACCCGAGATTTCTCGAGGATCAGCAGAGGCTAGCATATACTATCGACCAGTCCATGCCTGCGGCGGTTCGAAGAGTGATTCGTGATAATTGGGAGAAATGCCTGCTGGGCTCTGACTTCCATCAGGCGTTTGTTGTAAGTGATAACTCCAGCCATTCTACCCTCTTTTGATTTTCGTCGCATGCACCAAGCACTGGCCACCTTTGGATGGCCCCTTTCCACACGTTCGTTTGTTTACGCTACTATCTTCTATCCTTTTCTTTCGAGCGTCTCCTACATATCCTTGAGCACCTTCCATCACCTTACTCCTTTCTACCGTCTCACTTCTCCATCAGCTTTATCGCTTCCTCATATAATTATCATTATCATTATCGCACCAAGCCACCACTAGGCAGCAGTAGTTTTATCTCCTCCTCATCATTACTTAGGCTTCTACTCACCCCTTACTTCTCATTCCCCTAGACCAACGCCACTATCCACCACGTCACTCCCGCCATCTTCCAAAGAGCAGTCCGCGACTTCGGAAACAAGATGGTCGGCTACGGCAAGCGCGAGCTCATCGAGCATTTCAGCATGTACGACTTGGAGGAGCTCTCAGATTATATCCTCAACAAGGTCAGCAACAGCTTTCTAGATAAGGCTATGGCGATGCGTCTTAGAACTATCGAGGCGAAGCCCCTTATCAACGCCTTGGCTAGAGCTGAGAGGCTTGGTTACGAGCCCAGTGACGTCGTTGAGGAGACTCCTACTAGTGGTATGTTCCCACACGAACGTGTCGTGCCAGGCCAGCAACAGGCGCCTGCTACTACGGCACAAGCTGTGCCACAGGACCCTGGAGTGCTTCGTTGTGAGATGTGCGGCTTCGTCTTTCCTGGACCAGCTGCGAAGGAACATGTGAGTCACCGCCCTATCATGATGAGATGTGTATGTGACGGATAACTGATTGCAACTCCACAGCACATGAAGAAGACTGTCTGCAGTCGGCAGCCCAAGACGCCAGGAGGGTTCAAATTCTCGTGCCAGTACTGTGGCCAAGGCTTCAGCACTATTGTTGGCCTCCAATATGTCTGTATCAGTATGATTCTTGGGATGAACAACTCGCTAATGTTAGGTAGCACACGGCTAATAAGGTTTGCGGTGAATATGGACAGCAAGCCAAGAACCCGGGAACACGTAATAACCCTGTTGCTATCTCATCTGGCAACAGCACACCAGCCAATGCTGTTCCATCCATAGAGCCTCATCGATCGACAAGCTCGACATCCGGCTACAAGGAGTGGTCCCACGCTCAACGTGCGGCAGAAAAGGGTCAGACGACCCCCAGACAACCTTCGTCTCAGCCTGGCCTCGAGATTCGTTCTGTCACTCCGTCTTCTACACCAGGCGGCACTCCTGGCGACCCCTACGCCCACCTCACTCCCGCGCAGATGGCAGCTATGCAGGAAGAGCTTCGCCAAGCGGAGATTAAGTATGGCGACCGTCTACGTCAGGCGCAGGCTCTTGTTGACGAGGCAGAGCGCAAGACTCGCGTCGATGCGCTGGGCAACTCGTACGGCACGAAGCAGTCGATGATCAGGAAGAAGTACGGCGTCCGCTTGCGCACGCGGCGTACAAAGGCTGAGATCGAGGCCGAGAAGGAACGCATCTCCACGAGTAAGGAGGCGTCGTTCAGCCAGGTCGCTCTTCAATCCAGACCGGGTGCTGTTGCTGGAGAGAAGCGTCGGGAGAGCGGCTGGATTGCTGCCAACGTTGGCACCCCGCCCAACGACTACACCAATGGTCACGATGCAAAGAGGCAGCGATTCGCTCAGGAGGCTCTTGCGCAAGAGGCATTACAATACTCCACACCGCACTCCTCTACCAACCCCATAGAGACTCCGTCCAAGACGCGAGGCCCCACCACAAGCACGCACACTCCCCCTGTCCCTTCGTCCCAAGACATGAACATGGCAGACGCGCCCGTCCGCACTGCCGGCTCAGAGTCCTCCGCGCGCAACTCGGCGTCTCTGCAAGCACCGAGCGCCTCCGGCTCGCCATCCAAGTCCGCGACGCCCGGCGCCACCGCCCCCGAGCAAGCCGTTGTGAAGGGCGAGTCGTCCGACTCCGACTCCGACTCCAATTCTAACGACGACATCCCCGCTGCGCTGCCGCCCTCTGTGCGCCAGAGCCTGCCCGCGCAGCCGCCTCCTCGCCCTGGCTCTTCTTAATTTCTAATCCAGCGCTTGTGATTTTTCACAGTTTCGTGTACATTTGCGTTTCGTTCGCGGCAGGTCTGATTTGAACTTCGCGATTCGGAAGTCGGCGTTTACGGTCACGAACCCCAAGTGGTCGGAAGGAAAGACAGAAGGAAGGACGGACGGCCGGAAAGGGGAAGGAATACCCACGATTTGCCCAACGCGCGCCCGTTTTCATTCAGGGGCTTTTTTACAATCTGCATTTTGCACTTCTACGCGTACCTCGTAGCGGATGGTCTAGTCTGACCGTTTTTGCGTTCAGACGGTGCGGCGACACGACACGACAGAGATTCGTGGTATTGACGAGCATGCACGTTTCCCCCGCCCCCCATGCTGGAATCTCATGCAATGTCGAATTGGACGGCAAGACGGGCACGACATGGCATGCGGTCTGCAACTCTAATAATGAATGTAGAATAATTAGTGTATGAGAACATAATGAGATCTTCAACGAGCCATTAGTGCAGAGACTAGAGTGACACAACACAAGAATTACAGTGTAGCAGTAAGAAGCGTGAGGAAGTAATTTCGAGTGAACCCAGACGAGTTCTACCTAGTCAAATGCCTTAAGGAGAAGCGCTACGCTACGCTACATGAGATGATACAAATGCCTTGAACGCCCTTGCTCAGGCCCAACCCTTTCCCTAACCGTGTGAAATCGAAGCTGTATGAATACCAATCCAACAACTCTGCAACTACGCTCTATAGGAGCCTAGCCAGTAACTCTCCTCACCCACAGCGTCGTCGGCTCATAGTCCGCATCGCGATCCATGCGCTTGTACGCCCGGTGCAGCTTGAGCCCGATCTCGTACTCCTCGCGCTGCACCTCCGCCAGCTCCTGCTTGAGCGCCTCCACCTTGCGCTTCTCCAGCTCGCGCTTGTGGATCACGTCCGCCGACGCCATCAGGTTGTCCTGCGGCATCAGCTCCGTCATCTGCTTGATCGACTTGGTGATGTTGATGCGCCGATTGCCCAGGCCCTGCAGCTGTGCGTTCAGAAACGCCACGCGGTCGCGCGCCGACTCGGCCTCCGTCTCGGGCGGCGGCGCCGGCAGCGACTTGTTGATGGAGAGGATCGAGTCGGGCCGCGAGCTCGGGTCGGCGTTGGTGCGAGCGCGCGCCACGGGCCCTTTGTCGAGGTCTCGGGGGCCTTTGGGGCTGCCTGATGTCGCGAGCGCCGTGGACATCCATGGCTGGCCTAGCGAGATGCGTATCGGCTCTGCGTCCTCCAGGTCGCCTCCGCTCCGCAACTTGGGCTTTCTGCGGTCCATCACCGAGTCTGCCTTGTTAGCTGGGCTGGGACTGCTGTTCAGATAATGCTGCGGCGGCGTAGGCATCGGCGGACGATCCGCGAAGTCGTCGAGCGATTCACGTGGGGTGGTATGTGCCGATGTAGCGTACGTGGTGACGCTGAAACGCGACCCGGGCTGGACCCAGGGCGACTGTCCCGCACCCGGCAGCTGCAAGTTATTGTTCTGGATGGTCGCCTGGCCCGCACCATCAACCTGCGAGTAGATGGAAGACAAGGAATTGTCCGGCTTATGTCCTTGTCCCGCATGCGCTGGAGGAGGCTTCCTCCGAATTGGTGCTTGTTGTACGGGAGAAGGCTGGACTTGCGACGGCAGCGAATTCAGTGCACTTGGCGGGTTCGAACTGCCAGACAGAGGTGGGCTCGGATACGCTTGGGTTTGCTGCTGAGAGGAGGGGACGACCTTTCTGATGGTGCTTGAAATGCTTTTGTTTGCACTGCCCGTTTCATGTGCTCCAGGTGGGCTGACAGGGGGGCTGGCAAGGATTGTGTCGAGCCCAGCATCTGCACTAGGCTGAGGTTTAGAAATTGGAGAAGAGGTCCGTTTGCTGCTTTTTCGCGGGATTCTGAGAGGTGCAACATCTGGAGTATCGTGGACTGGTTCGACCAATGCTGTTCGGCCGGACGCACCGCGCCAGCCCGGGCGATTGGACGTGAAGGCACCGATGGCGGGGTCTGTATTACTCTGCAAAGGCGGCCCTTTGGGAGATCTCCCCCCGCTGCGTGCCATATTCTTCACCCGATCCCCAAAGCTCGTAGGGCTGGGTTGCGCAGGTTGTGATGGTTGTGCCGATGGGCCTACTGATATGCCTAGTCCCCGCGCATACTCCGCAGGCTTGACTTGCGACGGCCGGCCTCTGTCGCTGGTTGTGCGCTCCCCCGTCATGGAGTCCCATCGCACATCGCTTCCCGAGGGTTTGAGTTGAGGCTGGTGAAGCGCCTCGCGGCTGTTCTTCTCGCGCAGGGCGGCATCGGACTGCTTCCGCCGTGCTCGTCGCATCATGGGGATGTTACTACGAGCACCTTGTTCGGGCGGAGGAGTCTGGCCCGCTGGCCTCGAGGATGCCAGATTTAGTTGAGACATGCCGCGGGCGGATCTAGAGTCTTCTTCGTCTATAGGAGAAATGTCTGGCGAGGGTTGCTGATTGGGCCTAAAGTAAGAACACCAGAGGTCAGTATTGCTTTGATTTCTGTAAGAAGGTGCCGTCGATGCTTTCCGCCAACAGGACATGTGATCACGCTCTATGGAGCAGCAGAGGTCTCAGGACTCGCAAACAAGGAGTATTGCGCCTCGAGTGACAGACAAAGATCAATAGTCAGCCAGTGCCCTAGCTCTTTGCCAGGAGCCCATTCACTCGAGCAACACTTCTCACTTCGTCTCCCACCTCCCTTCAATCGTAACCCGTAGACGACTGACTACGAGCAGTTGTAATGTGAATAGAGCTCGACTTACCCATTCGTTGGTGTCAAAATCTCGGGCGAGCTAGGCGGCGAGATGTCCTCGGGCCCGCCCGTGTATTGCTGAGCGTTGACGTGTGTCCCTGAGAAGTTCGCTCCTTGGGGCGACGGCTGAGAGTAGAGGGATGAAGCTGGTCGGAAGTTCGAATTGCGATAGGTGTTGCGATTGGGGTTGCGCGCGGGCGGTGCGTGGGCTGGAGGCGCTGGGGCGCTGCTAGAGAGCAGGAGCAATTAGCATGTCTTCCTCCCCAAAGTGCAAGTGAGGTGAGGTACGATCGAAGACGCCCCTTCCTCGATATGCGCCGCGACAGATTGAGTGCTGTTCGCACCCGCCATCTCAGCCGCTTCTGTCATCGCTGCGCCTGCCCGTTGGCGTGTCGCTGTGACGTCTTCCTTGCTCCCTCTATCCCAAGCCTCGGTGGCGGCCCAGCCCGCATTCCCTCTCCATCTGCACGACATGTGCAATTGATAATAATGATAGGGAATAGACTCACAATTGTTCGCCTTGGAACTCTCGCGGCGGGCGTGCCGGCGCAGGGCCTCCCCTGATGGTATAGTTGTATCCGAACGGCGTGCCGGCCTGCAGTTCGTTGTTGCTGCTGGTGTTGTGTCTCCGTGTCTGCCAGCTCTGGGAGTTGCCTCTGTGAGTGTCGTCTGAAGCAGGCGGGCCGGACCCCAGCTTATGAGGCGCGCCGGCCGTTCGTAGTCGGTCCCACATAGCAGCCATGTCTCTCTCTTGTCTTCGCCCTGGGCACCACAGGCTAAGCAACGCAACCTTGCTCTAACGTTAAGAGGTGTGGCCCCTCCGCCTGTCCTGTCCTGTCCTGTCCTGTCTTGTCTTGTCTTGTTTTGTCTGGCGTGTCTTAAGTTGAGGGAGGGGATGGGTGGTCCCCTACTCCCTAGTTATTTATGGATTGCCCTGGAAGAGCAAGGCGCCGGGCATCCGTTCTCGGTCTCCTCAGTGCTAACCCGTGGAAACGAAGGAAGGGCACGAAAATGCGTCGCCTGGTTCTGGCGGTGATGGCGCTGGGGTGTGCCTATGCAGCGCAGGTCGTCTAGGTGCGTGCACGCTTCTTCTATGTGCTCTGATGCGGCGTCCGCTACAGCAGAGTGTGCGATCGGCGCGAGGGGTCCTTTGGGTCTTGCTAACGGAGCTTGCCCGTTCCAAAAAGATAGCAAGGGGTTTTCCGAGGTGTTATTAGCAATAGTTTTTTCCTTGTGATTTCGGTGTAGCGAGAGAGCCAGCCCAGTTGACTTGAGCAGCAGAAAAGGGGGGAAGTTCCCTGGATATCAAGGTCGGGTCGTCTGTCATTCAAGCAGAGGGGGGATTGGATGGATGGTGAATGTGACGACACTGGGCAGGCGGATTTATGAACTGGGTCCCTGATTTGAGCCCCAGAGCCCCTTCTCTGCAGTAAGGTACGCGCTTGGTGGTAGGCTGGTGGGGTCCAGGCGTCCCTTTAATGCCAGCCAAATGCAGGGAAATCAATTAAAATCAATCGGGGGCTGGGGGTCTGATTAATTAGTTAAGAAGATAGCGGTAGCCCAATAGAACGGTGGTGTCAGATGTCAGATGTCAGATGCAACCACTTTCCACCAGACGACGGCGATCCGGAGGCAATGGCAATTATAATTAATCGTTCAGAAGGCAATAGTATCACCCCCTATTGCTCGCCTCGTGGTTTAACTGTTAAGAGTTTGAGTCAAAATGGCGGCTGTTGTTTGTTTGTTGACGTCGTCAATTCCGGATCCGGTTGGCTGTGCTGTTCTGTGTTCTGAGCCGGGCGGGTTCGTCCTCACGGCCACCAGATTCAGCCGCGAATCGAGCAAATGACTGGTGTTTGTTTGGGCGGCGACGACTCGCGAGTCGCGGGCCTCGCGCTTGCCTGGCAGGCCTCGACCGATCCTTTGCACCGCTGGTGAGGAACACGCTGTACACTGTACACTGTGGACTGTGGGATGTTGATGTCGTGGCACGTCGATGCAGCGGCCGGCCAGCGACTGGCCCAGCGTGTCTCGTGGCCTTCTCTAGCGCGAGTCGCGCCGTGTCAAACCAATTAAGCTTCTTTTGCACCCGATTTCGAGCTTGGCTTGACATGTAACAACAACCCTTAGTCTAGACTGGATATCTCAGAGAAAAGTTGCTGTTTTCTTTGCCTGTTGCAGACATCTATCTGTAAACATGAGAAAAGTCGATTCAATATATATGTCGCCATGTTACATGGGGATTTCAGCGCAGTCGCATTCTCTTCATCAGCCTAAGCACTTTGCGATGCACGTCGCCGACGTATGATGGACAATAGCCATGGTTCGCCTAAAATTGCAGCCAGCCAGCGCCAACGTGAGTTCATTGCCGGTTCTGTCGGTCCAGGTGCAGCCACCAGGGGCTTTACCTCTCAGCTGCCGTCCGAGCGTCGTTCGAGAACAAGCGGCTGCCTATCTGCGGATGTCAGTCGGTCCATTCTGCTCTGTGCAGGTGCAGAGAGAGACCAATCCATCTGTATCAAGAACGACGAGGGCGACATCCTGCTAAATGCAAGAGAGCATCTTCAAGCCCAATTCTCATTCTATCGTCTGGTCTTGTCAATAATGTTTCTAGTTCTGTCCGTTTCAATGCGCCGCTGTCTAGCGTTCACCTTCTGGCTCAGACTGCGAAGCAAGTCCGTGTCGAAGATGAGAGGGGCAGCTTGGCCTGTTTCACAATTTGCCAGGGGTCATCACATTGTCATCAACAGTGGTGACTGCACTAGTCTAGGGGCCAATCACTCATCTGTAGAGCACTGAGAGAAACGTCAATCCATACTGTCTAACTTGTTCATACAAATAGGATGTCTCTTACTCATCCTCGTTAATTAGGGTTAGAAGCCGGGCACCTTTCTGCGAGCCGCTATTGTACTACACGGCACTCCATATAGGCTCCGCGTCGACCGCCGCCGGCCGCATGCACAAGTCCGAGAATTATCTCTGTAATCTATGAATAACTTGTTGTTTCGCTAATCATAATGCCTTTAAACACGTTTCTCATCTCATTTCATGAAATCGACATGAAATATCGTAGTGAAAGCGGCTGTTCCGAGAGGAAGACCAAAATTAAGCTTGTAGGCGTGGGTTGCTCTCTGTCTTTGTTTACGCCCGGGTGCTTCACTTGCTACAAACAGATGAAACGCCTATCTACAATCTAGACTTTTTGATCACAGTGGGAATCCATATTTTCCTAGACTTAAAACGATAGAGAAGAAGAAGAAGAATATTGCAACTCACTCCATCTAATTAGAGCTCATGGATGTAAGGATTTCCCGGATGCCAGCAAAGCGTAGTTCTTGCAGAGTTTGCGTCAGATCAACGCAGCCTTGACATTCTGCTGGGAACTTTGGGTTTTCTGGGACGGATGACATACTACCTTGGTGCACAGCCTTCATGACCATGTATACTCATGTAGCGGTGACTATGTGCAAGTTTTAGGTATCGACAGGCCAGTCTCTAAGCCAAATGAAACGCACCCGATGGCTTGTGTTAGGAAATACGACTTTGTGTCAAGGTCGCCAATTCAGACTATGAAAGAGAGATGGG